ACAAGATAAGAGTCGGAGAACTCAGAGGGCTTCCATAGCCTTGGAAACTCATGACTGGAGCATAGGGAGATTACTGATGCCATAGACAGGAGTGTCAATTGGTAAAGTCAACAACAGGAGTCACTGTGCACTTACTCCTCATGTAGGATCTCTGTCCTTAATGTGCTGTGCATTGAGATTTAATGCTATAACGAGTACTCAAACAATATATTTCACTTTGTGTTTCTATGGGGGTGCAAACTGTTGAAATCTTTACTTAATGCATACTAAACTGATCCTCTGTTAAAAAAAAAATTATCAACTCCCATCTTGACTCTCACTGGGATTAAACATGACAATAGGTCTGATCTGATTTCATCATCAGTTAAAAAATCATCTATTATTTTTCACTTTATGTTTCTGTGTGGGAGCAAACTGTTGAAATCCTTACTTAATGTATACTAAGCTGATCTTCTGTATATTAAGATAATCGAAAATGAATCTTGATGTGAATGGAAGGGGAGAGGGAGTGGGAAAGGGGAGGGTTGTGGGTGGGAGGGACGGTATGGGGGGGAAGCCATTGTAATCCATAAATCGTACTTTGGAAATTTATATTCATTAAATAAAAGTTAAAAAAATAAAAATAAAAATAAATAAAAAAAAGAAATAAATAAAATCTTTAAAAAATAAGTCATTTAAAAAAAGGAAATAGAAATGTGAACTAAACTCTGAATCAGAGGTCAGGAAGAAATAACATTTTATGATTTTTATCTTCTATTACCATTAAAATGATGACTTTGTTTGTCTTACCAAAGAAAAAAAGTATGTAAATGCTTTGAACTGGGGAGATACATCTTTATCATAGCTCACATTTAATTAATTCATTTTATCTACCATATTGGCATTATTTCATGAAATTTTCACAGAAACTTTATGAAATAAATTATCACAAGTCCTGCTTCCCAGGTGACAGAATTGATGCATAAAAAGAGTGTTACAGCTAATAATTATGGAGGAACTAGGATTAAATCTATCTAGGTCTATCTGTGTTGAGGTGACTGCTACACTGGAAGTTAGCTAGAAGTAATGGCTCAATTAGTTGGGTTCTTGCCATCCACATTGGAGACCTGCCTTTTTTTGTATTCCTGTACATATGTGTGTGTTTGTGTGTACATGTATGTATGTATATATATCCATATATATAGGAATATATATGGATATATAGATATCCATCTATCAAATTTTAAAAATAAAAAAATTACTGAAGAGAGTATGTCTGCCTATGAAGGAGCTGCTGTCCTATTTCGAGCAGAGTTAAAGAAGGTGACTAAGGAGAAAGGATACCGTCCAAAGAAAATCTGTAGATGTGATTATACTGGGCTCCTCTGGAAGAAGATGCATGACAGACCCTATATTCGTAGAAGATAAAGGAGTCATATGGATATAAAATATAAGGACAGACTACCTCTGGCATTATGTGACAATAGTGCAGGGCATATGAAAATTCTAAGTACAGAGTATAAGTTCTACACTCTCCCAAAAACAAAAATGAAAATTATCTTTGTACTGGCAATATGGTCAAAATGCATGGGTGACAGCCATTTTGTTTCTAAAATGGAACTACCAATGCTTTATCTCAAAAGAGGAGGAGTTGGAAAACTGGGGCCGGCTGGCACTGTGGCATAGAGAATAAAGCCTCTATGTGTAATACTGACATCCCATATGGGTGCTGGCTGAGTCTCAGCTGCTCCACTTCTCGCACCCATTTCCCTGCTAATAAACCTAGCCCAACCCCTTGGGCCCCTGTACCCATGTGGGACACCTGGAAGAAGCTCCTGACTCCTGGCTCCAGCCTGGCCCTGTCCTGGCTGTTCTGGCCATTTGCGGACTAAATCATCAGGTAGAAGATGTCTCTCTCTCTCTCTCTCTCTCTCTCTCTCTGTCTCTCTCTCCCCCCCAACTGTGTGTGTGTGTGTTTGTGTATCCTTTCTCTGTAACTCTGCCTTTCAAATAAATAAATAAATCTCTAAAGAAATAGACAATTTAACTGGCCACCCTCAATCTGTTTTCCATAAAAACAGGTTGTATTTTTATCTCCAAATATAATCTTATTGCTTTAGCTACTTGACTGGGCATCACTCCATTTGTGAAGGCCACATACAGATATCTGGCATTTTATCACATTCCATCACCAACAGATGTAGACCCCAATTTGAACGTAACATAGTACTGGAAATAATTTATTACTACTGAATTGACATTCATCCATGCTGCAATGGATGGATTAAAGCCAGAAACCAAATCCCTACAAAACAAACTTTTGTAGCAGAGCTATAAAATGATATTTATTTATTTATTTATTTTGTTCATTTAAAAGGCTGAGAGACAGAGACAAACAGATTTCTCCCATCTACTGATTCATACCCCAAATGGCTGCAATGGCCAGGTGGCTGAATCTGGAATCCTGGAACCCAATCCAGGTCTCCCATGTGGGTGGCAGGGACACAAATACCTGAGCTAACACGTGCTATCTTCCAGGATGTGCATTAACAGAAAGCTAGAAAGAGGATGGGAACTAGGGCTTGAACTCAGGCACTCCAATATGGTATTCAGGCATCCCAAGCAGCATCTTACCTCCTAGACAAAATATTTATCCAAGTTGTGAATGATTGAAATAATTTCTGGAAGTCCATGGAGAAATTAGGGAAATCAATGAGACAGTGATACAAGTTGGTAGGGAAGGTTTGCTGACATGCTTGATGATGTGAAAGAACACACTGATGCCTATTGAGAAGTGTTAACAAATGAGCAATCTGAAGAATTTGTTGAGTTATCTACTGAAGAAGGTGAAGAAGAAGAAACGAACCAAAGTAGAACTAGCAATGTTGGCATTATCAAAGTTTAATGAAATATTTCAAATTGCACAGACATTAAAAAACAAAACCATGAAATATGGCCCTCACATGAAAGAACTTAAAGTCACCTGTACAACAATTTGATGAATTAAAAACAAAAAAGACAACAATTTCTGATTATAACATTCTTCCAAAAAAATTAAGGCAAAAGAAATTTCAACTATTATGGATTTCCAACCACCAACATTACCTGCTGCTGACATGCGACCATAACATCATCGCAACTCAATGATGTGGGATCACCTAAAGCAAATGTTCATCATTCTGACACATCATCAGGTGGAGAGTAGCTTAATGCCATATCATAATGCATACATACTGCACCTCATTTTATCTCATCATGCAGGCATTCTATCATCTCAAATTATCACAAGAACAAGGGTGAGTATAGGACAATACTTTGAGAAAGATAATATTTACTAAACTTTTATTATATTGTAATTCTATTTTATTATTATTATTGTTAATCTTACTATATCTATTTTATAAGTTAAACTTTATCAGAGGTAATGAGTTTAGGCAAATATGTAATTCTGCATAGGGCTTGTTAGTATCCAAGGTTTGAGGCATCCACCCCAAGTCTTGGAACAAATAAGAAAGTACTACCAGGATACCATTTTGTCTTGCAAAAGAAAATGTTTGCTATTTTAACAAGAGTTTAAATTCCAAGGATCACTTCCATACAGTTCCATTCAGGTGAATATTTCTTTTAAATGACTTGCCCACAGACAAACCTAAAGTTCAACTCAAATTTATGCATCTCTGACATATATAAACAGACAAAATAGCTGCCATTAGATGACAACCTCAGACATCATGCAGAAATTCCCTGCACACATATATTCTCTAAGCAGATAAATGGCTTTCACTGAATTCATTTTCTAGCAGAAAAACTACACAGCTTATTCTGCTTCATTATACTCCTTGCGTGCAAGTGTGGAGCAAACTACACACATCATCTACCCAAGTGGTTCTCAAAGTATGCTCTACATATTAGCAGCATGAGCAAGGGCCAAGCACCTATTAGAAATGTGTATTTTGGAACCTACCAAACCTAGTGAATCAGAAGCTAAGGAGTGAAACTTTCCAGAGGACTCCAACATATTCCAAATTCAGGGATCATTCACCTGCTATCTTATTTTGTCTTACAGGTGTGAAAACTGAGGCATTGGTTTCTATAATTAATCAAATTAATAAGACCTAAGCAAAATAATTTCTTGTACAAAATCTATTTTCTGCCAGGTTCATTTTCACCCTATTGATTACCCCAAGAATCAAGTGTATATGTCCACTCTACAAGGATATCATTATTGGTTTTCTGGATCTAGTGCATTTAAGCCTCAGGAGCTGCAATATAAGTAGTAAACAACATTATTTGGTATTTTATTCTTCAACTTAGGTTAGGAGGTGCTTCGCTAAGAATTAACAATTCCAGGAATGGCCCCATACATCATATACTACATACAAAAACATGAGTCTATTGAAACTTTTCTCTAGAAGAAAGTTCTAAAGACAAAAGTTTCCTTTCATGAAATACTCCCTAAATTTGGCCATTTCTACTTGCTACAGCCCACCTAGAAGATTTACACTGAATGAAGGAACAAAAGTTAAGACCTTGATATGTGTGGGAATTTAATATGCCGGAGCCACTCAGAACAACTGGATCTTTGGATGATCTTGACTGAGCCCTTACCCCATTTTGATTCCCAGTCTTAGTGTGATCACATTACTTCCAATCTCTCTGGTACTTATCTAATCTAAACTAATTTAATTATCCTTTTTAGAATGATGCTCAGGCCGATGCCACGGCTCAATAGGCTAATCCTCCACCTGTGGCGCTGGCACCATGGATTCTAGTCCCACTCGGAGCGCCAGATTCTGTCCACTCTGCCTGTCAAAAAAAAATTTTTTTTTAATTAAAAAATAAAAAAATAGAATGATGCTCAGAAAATATTCCTGCACTGAATGTCACCATACCAAGATCTTCAGTGTTCTCGAAAGATTTTCATAATTTTCTAAGGAGTACATCACCAGTATAGATTACAAAGGAAGCAGGATTTAATATACATAATTTTACCCAAGAACATGAAGTGTATGTCCTCTTACCCACTCAATGAAGGTGTCTCTGCTAGAATTAGAGACTGTGTCTTCAGTCAAAAGTATGAGGGAACTTCAAGTCTGGAAAAATAGAATTAATTAAAAGCCAAGTTTATTTCGGTGCAAATTTGAAATCTACACAATTTTTCATAATGCACATTTTACATGAATGCTTTAAAGGACTCCTTGTATACATGAAATTGGAGGCATTATAGACATTTCCCTGTGCCCATTCCTCTTTTGATACTCCAATCTCCTCTAGCCTCCTGAGATTCCTTTCTGTGTCCCAGTATGACGTGTTCACGCTCTTCAACCATTTCCTGTGTTGGCCAAGCATCTGCGTTTGAAAGACAGTACCTCTTACTCTTAAGAAGAAGTCAAATGCTATTATAATAAGAGTGGCATGTTTGGCATTCTGGGAAAACATCAATGCTTCCTGAGTACTGATCTTTGTCTTCCAATTTCTACCACCTGGTCTATCAATACATTAACTAACCTCTGGCAAAGTCTCCTAAGGCTAATAAACACTTCCTCATCCCCAGGATTTATTTGTTTACAGTATCTTAAATTACTAGAGATCATAAAAGATAACCCTCCATCTCCCTTATTGCCATGACCTTTCAGAATGAAGAGAGCTATAAAATTAAAGGGAAAAAAAAAAAGATGTCCTCTGCTCCAGCATTTCAAATGTTTATGAGTGTCTGGCTCACCGTTATCTCAACAGCTTGCTGCTTTCCTAATGATCTCTTTTTTTTTTTTTTTTTTCCTGTTTTATGTCCTCAAACCCATTTATTCTCTGGGCTGCCAGGGGCATAGACGCATTCAGTCGTTCTACGTACAACATAGTCGCTTCTAGAAATTAAATAATATTTAATAATAAATTGGAAGAAGTCACTGAAGAAAGGGCTGCCCGCATTCCAGGCACTCACCCCACAGTTTCGCTCCCTCACATCTCAGGAGGTGGTCAGGTGCAGAGATTTTCCTCCCTAGGCTACCAGTCAGACGTAGGCATACTTCACAGAAATGACAGCCTAATTTATTCTGGGAACAGAGATGTGTTACCATGCTTTTTTACACAATTTACTGATAGTGGCAACCACTGCCATCATGCCTGGTGAATTACCCATCTAATATAGGATTGTCATAGCCTAATATGCTAAGAGTTAGTGATCATATAGAAAGGAAGGCCACCAAAAGAAAAACCAATGAGACCAGTGGGACACTAGTGTAGCTTAAAAATTATACCATCCCCTAAATATTCATAGATTTTTATTTGCTTCCTGGAATTTCCTGTTTTGGAGTTCCCTAACATTTTCTGTGATATTTTCAGTGACTTCCATTTCTACCAAATGGTTCTGCAGTACTTTTTGCACATTTATACACTAGGAACAGACACAAGAAATGCTTTTGGATGCCCTGTCACTCACAAACACAATAAAGTATTCAAATTCACAAAATGAGACATTCATTATTCTTCAGACTTTCACTATAGATATAATCCTTTGCACTCATAAATATATATTATATATATTATATTATAATATATAATATGTTATATATTATATATTACATTATATATACTATATTATATATAGTGTATATAATATATATTAAGAACTTATAGTATGTTATGCATTGGACTACACACTTGGGGAAACAAATATATTAATCATGGGATCTACTCCATCAGCTATATTTTAAAGGAAGATCAACTTTAATATATTTCCTTGCTAATTATCTAGAGATTTTTATTTTGTTTCATTATCTAGAAATAAATATCTTTCTAATGGAAATATACTTCAAGAAACATAAAAAGTATCCAACCATCACTACAAATACTCCTCAAATATTCTCATTTTAAAATAATATATATTCCAAAAATAAACCCCAAAACATCAATCATTTGTACTTTTATTTGCACTTTTATTAAAGGAAAAATTATACTTAAGATGAAGGTATATGAATTAGAAATACTATAGTCATCTATAGGAAAGTGCTAATGTCTCTTGCTCTAAATTTATTTCCATACTTCCCTCAGTCTTCTCAGTGTTTCACTGTATCCACTAACATGGAGGCAACTCCAATAAGCTCCACCAAGGCCTCTCAGCTTGGGCCCTTCTAAGGAATATTCTCCTTTCCCATCTCAAGCCAGATTAATACAGACTGGTTTGAAGCTGCTTGTTTAAGTTAGGATACACCATCTGCGCTAATGAGGCAATAACTTTTAATGTGCACATGTCCAAAGAATTTATTTGGAATTTAAAGAGAAAATTCCTTAAGTGAAAGAAATGCTCTGGGTAGAAAATTTAAGCCTTTGGTCGTATCAGCAAATGAGATTTCCATGGACTTGTTTAGATAAATGCTGAGAGATCTTTATTCAAATTAGATCAGCTCTCTGGGTCTTGAGGATAACTGACTACCCTCTCCATTCACCTCTCCAACCTCTATAATCTTTAAACATCATTTCAAATCCAATCTCTTCTGCGGACTTCTCCCAACAACCTTAGCCCTGAAATTATATAGCACTACAGTCCACATTCTGAGGTACGCAAAAGCTGTATTTCATGTATTTCATTTAGTCATTCAACATATATTTCCTCAGTTTCTAGTATGTGATCGGCACTGAAATAGGCACTGACGATAAAGTAATAGTTGCTGTAGATAATGGGGATTCAATGATACATTGTATGCCCCCATGAGTTTTCAGTCCATTAAAAGAATAATAATAAAGTCTATAAAAATTACAGAATAAGGACCTATAATTCCAAGACTTGATAAAAGTACTTCATTTAAAAATCATGTTGTAATACCACAACATAATTAAGTAGATATATAAAGATTTTTACATACAAATTATTTGTAATTAGTTGAAAGTAGTTAAAATCACTTCTAAATTAAGTAGTGCAAGAAAAACATCTGTGAACTGCTTCATACTATGCCTGGCATGTAGTAATCTGTAACAGCTATAGTACTACTTTTATGATCGACCTCATTCTCCAAATCTATAGAAATTGCTATAGAATTGCTATAGAAATTTCTATAGAAATTGCTGATAATCATTGTTAACTTGGTAAAAGATCATCAAACTCCATCCCATAGCAGAATTTCATCTTCTGAAGGAAAATCATCAGGACAAACATCTAAAATTTTCACTCATTCACTCTTAAACATTAAAAGTCTTATTGCCAGCATTAGGAATCAAAAAAATGATTAGTTGTATCCTGTCTTCAGGATTTCAGTCTAGTTGGGGAAATATGTAAGGAAAAAGATCATCTCAAAACTGGTCATTTTTAAACTGATTATCTTCTATAAGCACAAAGAAGAAAAGCCACCTATTCCTACTCATAAAGAGGTGATGTATCAGTTGGTCTCATGAGTGTTGTTAGGCAGATGGACTAATAAATGTGTGGAAGAATAAGAAACAAGCCAGGAATGAACATGACCTGTTCAGACAAATGCTAACAGTAAATCTGGAACTCAACCTACATGTGACTAAGCTACCTATAAAAATATATAACCTCTGAAAGCTGGGCAGGTGGGAAAGTGTCAGCTCATGACGGGGCCATATGCCATGTATGCTTAGGGATTTATCCTATAAGCAATAAAATACAACCAATAAACTTGATTTTAATATAAAGATATTTAAATCTCTTTTCTTCTCAAAAAAATCACAAAATGATAAGCACAAAGAAGCAAAAATACTACCCCTTCTCCAATGGAACTAGAAACTCTTTTAGTGCCAAACATCAGTATTTAAAGACTGAATTTATAAGGAATAGCAAATATATTTGCACAAGAGAAGAAAATTAGCTCTAACTACCAACAAAGGATTGTTTAAAAGAATTTGGTTCACTCTGAGAAATTCAAGAGGTAATAATGAATTGAGGAAAAGATACTGGGTAAAACAGGAGAGTATGTGCGGACTTAAAAGACAGATTATTTAGTCTGGATAAAAATCATATAAGCTTACAATTTTCTACAAGGCTTGACCAATATTCCTCAACCACAGGAAAAGGGACATAGATATCCTGAGGAATTTGAAATAAAGACATCACTGAGGCCGGTGCTGCTGCTCACTAGGCTAATCCTTTGTCTTGAGGCGCCAGCACACCGGGTTCTAGCCCCGGTCAGGGTGCCAGATTCTGTCCTGGTTGCCCCTCTTCCAGGCCAGCTCTCTGCTGTGGCCAGGGAAGTGCAGTGGAGGATGGTCCAAGTCCTTGGGCCCTGCAACCCATGGGAGACCAGGATAAGTACCTGGCTCCTGCCATCGGATCAGGGCGGTGCGCCGGCTGCTGCGCGCCAGCCGCGGCGGCCATTGGAGGGTGAACCAATGGCAAAGGAAGACCTTTCTCTCTGTCTCTCTCTCACTGTCCACTCTGCCTGTCAAAAATAAAAAAATAAAAAATAAAAAAATAAAAATAAAATAAAATAAAGACATCACTGAATTTGGACACTCCCACACAGGATAGTGTGGGTGAAGTAAGAGTATCATATGATCAGGTACAATATGAACTGTGGAACTTGGTAGCTCCCTTTATTGTATAGCTGTAGAATAAACTTCTATACCTAGGTAAATATCCAGAAGGAGAGGATTGGAACAAATCTTTGCACGACACCCGTGGAGAAACATCGCCTCCTTGTAGAAACTACATGCAGGTCTTGGTATGGGCGTCTCCAGAGAAATACCAGAATACTTTGCCAGCCAAGCACAAAGCCAACACTTCAAATATTTGTCCAAATACTCAGAACCTCCAAATTTCTGAATAAGGTTCATTCTAAAATAGATAAAAACAGCAACGATAAAGATTTCAGAAAGCCTTCAGCATAAAATACAAGGACAATCATAAACTAATTTAGAATAAAGGTAAAGCAATGGCAAGGAGGAATCATCAAGAATGCTATTATTAATATCCTCAGAAAAGAAACAGAAGATCCGATATTAAATACAAAAATAAAAGTAGGATATTGTGAAAAGGAAAATGTTCTCAGAAATATTAACAAGAGAGTCAAAATGAAAATTTTATCCATAGTATGGGAAAGTAGAAGAAGTGAAAAAATATTTTAGAAACTGAAATGGGGCCTGCAGCACCAGCATCCCATATGAGCACCAGTTTGAGTCCTGACTGCTCAACTTCCAATCCAGCTGTCTTTTATGGCCTGGGAATTAGTGGAAGATACCCCAAGTCCTTGGGCCCCTGAATCCGCATGGGAGCCTCGGAATAACCCCTGGCTCCTAGCTCCAGACTGGGGCAGCTCCAGCCATCTCGGCCATCTGAGAATTGAACCAGCAGATGGAAGACTTTCTCTCTCTCTTGCTCTCTCTCTCTCTGCCTTTCTGTAACTCTGCCTTTCAAATAAAAATAAATAAATCTTTAAAAAATATATAAGTATTTTGGTGCAAAAAATGAAATTTGTGCATAGTTTTTTTTTCATAATATGCATTTTCTAGGAACTTTTCCAAGATTGCTCATAATTCTTCATCTATAAGAAAAGGCTTGATCACAAATCTATGAGTTAGCAATTCAAGCTAGTAGCACACACACAGCCACAATCATCTAATTAGTTAGCTAGGGCTGGAGAATATAAACTGACCTACTCCCATATCCAACAGTCATCTCAGGCTAATAGCTAGGCAGTTCCAGCTTCTTTGCACACCACAGAAGAGTCTGAAGCAGCAAAAAAGGTCAAGCTCTTCTTATTGTATCTCATTGGCCAAGGAACTTGCATCGCAAAGCTAAGAGTCAATGTGGGAGGGAGTACATAAGAATAAAATAAGAAGAGGAGTGATACACGAGAGACATTAGTGTGGCAATCTATCATATTAGTCCAAACAAAGAGGAGTACTCAGAACTTTGGACCTAAACTGAGTAACTTAATGAGGAAGAACAGAAGAGAACACTGTCTATGATGTTGCTTGGACTTTCAAAAATACCTTAATTGCGGCTGGCACGGTGGCACACTTGGTTAATCCTTTGCCTGTCTCCTTTATTACCACCTCTTTTAGATCATGAAGTAGCAAAGTGTCTGGTCCTTACTTTTTAAATAAAGGATTGGAGGGAGTGACAAACATATACAAAGAAACAGGCAGAGTCCAGAGCCCATGATAGCAACTGAGCCTAGGAAAGACCAAATGGGAAGGCCAGGGTTAATGCCAGAGGTAAATCTGATCATTTCTATCCTCCACAAATAGAGGCTTAGTAAGGGTTTATTACACATGCATCTAAAAACAAAAAGAACTATAACTTTGGACTTTGGTAGCATTTTTCTCTGTCCTATTTTAAGTTTCGTAATAGGCAGATTGTTTGGCTTAGTAGTTAAAATGCTGTTTGTGATGCATGTATGCCATGTCAGAATTCCTGAGTTTTTGTCCTGGCTCTGCTCCCTAATTCAGCTTTCTGCTAATGTGCCCTGGGAGGCATCAAGTGATAGATCAAAATTTGGGTTCTTAATAATCATGTGGGACACCCAGACTGAATTCCCAGCTCCTGTTTTGGCTTGACCCAGCCCCAGTTGTTACAGGCATTTGGGGAGTAACAAGGGGCAGAAGATGTATCTGTTTGTGTCTGTGTGCCTCTTCTCTCTCTCCCCCTCCCCCTCCCCTCTCTCCCTTTCAGATAAAGTAAGTTATTTAATTGGCCCAGCCCCAACCATCCCAGCCATTTTGGGGAGTGAAACAAAGAATGAAAAACATCTCTCTCTCTCTCTCTCTCTCTCTCTCTAACTCTGCCCTTTGAATAAATTAAATAAAATCTTTAAAAAAGATTTCTGCAAATCTATTTAATTTCTGGCTTGATTTAAAGGAACTGTATTCTCCATTGCCTTCTGCACTCATTTTAATATCATGCACATAATCTGGAAAATTCTATTTCTCAGTTGTGAGAGAAAGAAAGTAGAAAAAAGCAAAGAACATCTGAGTATTATTGTGCAAATACTTTTGATTTTGTGGCTCCTGTAAAGGGGTTTCAGGTATTTCTCAGGCATTTGTCAGGTGAAGGTGGTGAGTGTTTTCCCCTAAGGTTGGCAGAATCTTCAAGATAATCAACCCCAGAGTATTGTCTATTTAGAATCCCAAAAAACAAACTGAACTGTTAGGATTTCTTTTTTTTTTTTTTTTTTTTTGACAGGCAGAGTGGACAGTGAGAGAGAGACAGAGAGAAAGGTCTTCCTTTTTGCCGTTGGTTCACCCTCCAATGGCCACCGCGGCCGGTGCGCTGCGGCCGGCGCACCGCACTGATCCGATGGCTGGAGCCAGGTGCTTCTCCTGGTCTCCTATGGGGTGCAGGGCCCAAGCACTTGGGCCATCCTCCACTGCACTCCCTGGCCACAGCAGAGAGCTGGCCTGGAAAAGGAGCAACCAGGACAGAATCCGGCACCCCAACCGGGACTAGAACCCGGAGTGCTGGTGCCGCAAGGCGGAGGATTAGCCTAGTGAGCCATGGCACTGGCTTGTTAGGATTTCTTAATACCAAACAAAATACCTCTCTGTTCATATAAATGAGCCCATTACTTAGCAAAATAAAATTGGATTTTCTTGATGGTTTCCTCAGATATAATGTGAGTGGTTTTCTGTTCTCCAAACAGCTATTCAGTAACTGTACTCTCTCCCTTTAACTCTTCTCAGAATCGCAAACAACTCTACAGCCAGCTCCTTCCTCTTGAGACACCATAATACTCTTTTGTTGTTGTTGTTGTTGTTGTTGTTTTTGACAGGCAGAGTTAGACAGTGAGAGAGAGAGAGACAGAGAGAAAGGTCTTCCTTTCTCCATTGGTTCACCCCCCAAGTGGCTACTATGTCCTGCACGTTGAGGCCGGCGTAAAAGCCAGGAGCCAGGTGCTTCCTCCTGGTCTCACATGCAGGTGCAGGGCCCAAGGACCTGGGCCATCCTCCACTGCACTCCCAGGCCACAGCAGAGAGCTGGACTGGAAGAGGAGCAACTGGGACAGAATCGGGCACCCTAACCAGGAATAGAACCCTGGGGTCCTGGCGCTGCAGGTGGAGGATTAGCCTAGTGAGCCGCGCCCATAATACTCATATTAATTATGAAACAACAAAAAGGTTTTGAGTATTTCAAATGTTTCAGGAATTGGTCAGTGTGCTTTATTGTATTATTTTGTTGATTTCTTAAAACAAATATCTGAGGTTACTATTCTCTTAATTATTTTGTAAATGAGAAGACTGAAGTCAGGAAGGATTAGGTATCATGCCCAAGGTCATTCAACTAGCAAAACACAAATCTCAAAGCTTTTAACTACTGTTCCATACAGTTTCCCTATTCATGAGTATGGTAACAGTAATGTTTTATACAATTTATCATTTTAACTACATAGCTTTTCTGTATAACTTTAAGTGTCTTTTGAGGTTTAGTCTGAGAAACTATCCTTGTTTTCAGAGTCTTACTAACGTAGACAACCTGTACCAAATAAAAACAGACATTTAGACCATACCATATTCCTGTGCTCACTTCTCTGCTTCATCTCAAACAATTCCTTGTAGATCATTCCGGAGGTCACACCACCTCCCCTGCTGTCTTCATGTCTTTGGTAAGCCTTGTCTCTCCTTTGTGAATTGTCCCACATCACTTAAGACAGGCTGAAAAACAGACCGACAGTGATAGTCAAAAATCTTCCAGTAGCCTAATTGTCAGCATTGTCAAGGATCTGGGACAATCCTGCAGTGCCTGTGTCATGCTTCACTCATCTTTCAGAAATCCTGTCAGCAACAATTTTCTGTAGACCCTTGTGACTTAGAAAATGACCACTCTATAAACTCTGTAGAAATGAATACCAGATGTGTGCTAGCAGCCCTGGGAAATTCAGAAGTGTCAGTTTAATATCCTGGGTGTTGCTGTCTGAACCTGAAAAGTCAATTCAAGTTATAAAAATTTCAGTAGCTTGCCACAAATCCCTGAATGCTCTCTTCAGTTCAAGTAGAGCAAAGGTAATGGGCCACAGGAGAGAAACAAGGGAAAAGTAATGAGTCCTCCCTCACTAATTGAGAGTTGGCTCTAACAAGGATGATACACCCTATTCCACCCCCACAAAAAAACCCTAAATTTAGGGTAGCAAAAAATATACATGAAAAATCAAAAACTCCAGTGTCATCATGTCATCATAGACAAGTCAGATTGGAATCATAGAAGGTCCTTTTTTTCTATCATAACCTCCTTTTTACCAGATAAAATGCGCAATCTTTATCACTTGGATAAAAATTCAGTTGCCAAGCATTTTAATCATTAATTATCTACAGTACAAATATAATTATCACTGATCAATGACAACTTAAATAACAGAACAATGTGTTTTATGTTCTCAGAACTTCAGAAACTTATACACTGTTTTTGTCAATTGGATCATTTGCTCTGTTAACATAATTCCATAAAAAACAGATGTTTTTATCACCAAAACTGCAATATTATCTTGGCATTAACGTCCCTATTGAATTTAGTCTTCATGGAAAATAAAGGAAAATGAGAATATCTAAAGTATTTGTCTCTACACTCAAATATGCTTCATTAAATGCATTATCACTGAACTGATACTCACACCTCTCCAATTTAATGTAGTTTTTCAACAAATGACTATACTAAATACTTAAAATTAGTTTATTTATTTATTAAGCAATCATTTGATAAGCATCTGTTGTGTAACAAATAGTGTGCCAGATGCTGTAGCTATAAAGATTGAATGGTTCCTATCATGTCTCCCAAATAGTTTATAGTCATATCTGGTAAATCTACACAAGAAGAAATTAAACACAAAATTGTTATTTTTATTAATAAAGGAGTGCACAAGTTACATATGGGATACTGGAAAGAATCTCTATATAGAGAGATTAGGAAGAACTTCAAAAAATATTAAATGTTCTAACTCAAACCACAATTCTTTTAATTGCTTGATTTGTTTTATTACAAAGCAAAGCTTCAAATACCATCAATATCATTTGACTACCACCTGTAAATGGATACTTGATATGCTAGCCTATTTGAATTCACTGTCATAATAACAACACAGTTATCATTGCTGCTTCTTTGTGACTATTGTCTTTTTAATAAGCAACAACTACCTGATGAACACTCATATTTCCTAATGTCAATCCTCACAAACACTCTATGAGGACAGCAGGTGTATCTCCAGTTTACAGATGCGAGAGGACAATATAATAAAATTAAATAACTACCAAAGATAATACTGCTAGCAAATACTGTACTTGGAAAAGAAATTAATTCTTGAACCCAAGAGTTTAATCTGTCCAACAAAATATCATAAATGCATTTCATATATGCCTTTAAACAAGTTATTTCAGTGATCTACCTGGAAGCAGAGTTGAAATGCTTGAACACCACTTTGGAACAACTGAAAGGTATCACCTTAGCAGTAAGACTCACAGTATAAAACTCTGGAGGCTAATGCTAATAAATAAGACTGGGAAGCTGGGAAGCACAGCAGTAATGTGTGTTGCATTGGAAGACATATAATTGACTCGTTTCCTGGTACGTTCCTGCTGTATTTCCTACATGTACATTACATTATAATATACTGAAATAGTTATTTTCCTCAAGAATTGAATAAGAAGTCCAGAGAATATAATTACTTGGTTATCAGTGGAACATTCATTGGTCAAACACTCTACTACAATGGCAAAACAAATGGTGGAAGCAGCATACAGGTAATGTGTGTTCAAAGAGGCAGCACAGCATGGATGCTATGAATATAGCTTCTGGATCAGGTTGCCTGTGTTCAATTGTGGCCTCCTGTGCAGGACTGCTGTGTAATTAGCTACAATCTTAACTTTTCTGAGCCTTAGCTTTATTATTTATAAAAGAGGAACAATAATAATAGTGTTCACCTCAAAGGGTTGTTGTGAGGAAAAAATGAGTTAATACTTATTAAGGCTTAGGACAGTGCCTGGCACAAAGCAGTGTTTCATAAATGTATGCTATTATACTAAACATAAAATACTTTTTTTATTACTGCAGTATGATTATGTGGTCTGGCGTTTTCTTGTTCAGAAGGAATATGTAATGTAAATGTAGCCCTTAAAATAGTTATGCACACTTTGAATTAATTTTCAAGGAAGCACTGCCAATTCTATTTGGCATTCTATTTAAAGAAAAAAAAGAACCTATTTTAGTCAAGATATTCCTCATAGACTCATGTCTTCCATAATAAAGAGTAACAAATGGATTCACCCTATCCTGTATGAATCTGGAAAGACTCTAAAACAATCCACTTTCAGTATGCTGGACTGGATCCAGGTTTGTAGTGAATAATTTCTAAGGCTCCTACTGTCTCTAAATTCAAGATAAACTTTGAAAAAAGTCTGGAATATAAGTGAACCATACCCAGTTAAAAATGGTTCTCTTATCAGTGTTACTAATAGGAACAGAGCAGAGGGGAGAGTGCAATGTGGCAAGAAGTTTCCACCTTGCATCACCTTTTATTACATCCCACAGGTTAAAAAAAAATATGACTTCCAAGGCCCTCTGCTTCTCAATTCCTTCCAATGTCATTTATGTCAATGTCCTCAAAGAGGTAATTAGCCTCACATTGATAAGCAATTGTCTCGTAAGAACATGCTTTGCTTGCCCTTTAACAGTTACTATCCTCCAGACAGGGCTGTGTCCACCTCCATTTTCTCATCAATTTCTGTCAAGGGTTTGCAAATATTATTTGGTAATAATTTCTCATTAGCATTCCCTTTACCTTTATGGTACCAAACTTAATCTTGCCATGACTCTAGCACATAAAATCCAGATTTCACTTGTCAGGCCTGAAATTCCTTATGGTACTAATAGATACTCTACCTATATTTTCTCAATGTTTCCAAATAACTCCTAGGATAATCTGTATACAAAGTGTTTGGTCCCACAAATGTGGAGAATGTAATATCATATTAAGGTTCAATAGCAAGGTTAAGCCCTGAGAAGTGGGACCATTTCCTTCCAATCACTTCCATACCACCACAACACGCATTGTCAATGACAAGAAGCATCTTGGGACAAAATGGTGAGAAAATCAGGCAAATAATAGGAAAGTGTAACATATAGAAATGTAATCTCCAAAATTTGACCTCTCTACTTGTTTTCTGGCCATTTTTACCAACTGCTTTAGTCATCTGTTAATATGTGAGTTACTGGATCCTTGACATTTGAAATCCTTCCAATTATATACATGATTTTTGTACTACTTAAATAATAATACTTTATTTGTAGTCCTTTATGCTGTAAAGAACAAGAATGGAATCTTAAAAAGGAGAGCACTGACATCATTTTTGGCTCTACTGCCTTGTGCATCCTTGGAAAAATTATCCAGCCTCTCATTAATTTCCAGGTTTCTCATTTGCAAAACCATAATCATAAAAATATCTATTTCACAGTGCTAGTATAAAAATAGAACAAGCATTGCCTACTGTATATGATTCATAAATGTTAAAGACCTTGCCCCCAAAAGGGAATAATCCTGGCATTTCTTTGTCATTTACATAGGAAACTTTTAACAGACATAAATGAGGAGCGAGTTTCCTTAAGCACTAGGCCTGAGATGCAATATCATAGAACCACAAGTATGTGAACTTTGGGTATCTCTTATTTCTCCCACTCATTTTACCCAAGAAGATAGACTATAAGAAATATATAAGGCCAAGAGAAAATGCATTGTTGAATTACAAACAATTTTCAAGAATATTTAGGTGGAGCCAGTATTGTGATGTAGCATGTAAAGCCACTGCCTGCAAATGCTGGCGTCCAACATGGGTGCTGGTTCATGTCTGGGCTGCACCACTTTGATCCAGTTCCCTCCTAATGGCCTGGGGAAAGCATTGGAAGAGGGCCTAAGTACTTGGACCCCTGCCAGCCACATGGCCCCTGCCACCCAGATAAAGCTCCAGGTTCCTGACTCCTGGTCTTGTCCTACTAGTTCAGCCCTGGCCATGGCAGCCACTTGGGGAGTGAATCAGTGTATGGAAGATCTGTCTTTCTCTGTCTGTCTCTCCCTTTTTGTAGCATCACTTTCAAAGAAATAAATAGATCTTAAAAAAAAAATACTTGGGTAGGCACTCTGGCATAGTGGGTAAAGCTGCCACCTGCAGTGCTGGCATCCCATATGGGTGCCAGTTCAAGTCACAGCTGCTCCACTTCCAGTCCAGCTCTCCACTATGGCCTGGGAAAGCATTAGAAGATGGCTCAAGTTCTTGGGCCTCTGCACCCACACAGGAGATCCGGAAGAAGCTCCTGGCTCCTGGCCTTGGATCAGTGCAGCTCTGGCCATTGCGGCCATCTGGAGGGTGAACCAGCGGATGGAAGACCTCTCTCTCTCTCTCTCTCTCTCTCTCTACCTCTGCTTCTCTGTAACTCTGACTTTCAAATAAATAAATAAATCTTTAAAAATAAAAAAGGCTAATCCTCCGCCTGCAGCACCGGCACCCTGGATTCTGTCCTGGTTGCTCCTCTTTCAGCTCGCTGCTGTGGCCCAGGAAGGCAGTAGAGGATGACCCAAGTGTTTGGGCCCTGCACCCCCATGGGAGACCAGAAGGAAGCACCTGGCTCCTGGCTTCAGATCGGCGCAGCGTGCCGGCCACAGCATGCCGGCCGTAGCGGCCATTTGGGGGGTGAACCAACAGAAGGAAGACCTTTCTCTCTGTCTCTCTCTCTCACAGTCTAACTCTGCCTGTCAAAAAATTTTTTAAATAAATTAAAAAAAGTATACTTATGTGTCATGGTATTTTTCGGCTTTTACATCTTTCCTCTAATTTCTATTATTTATTGTTGCATTGCTGGCCTCTGAGTCTTTATGATCCCATATGGGTACTGATCAATTGGAACATTGTAAGATGTTCTTCCTTCTTCCCTCACTGCCTCATCTCATGTTCCTGTGGGTCCTCAACTCCTGCCCTCTAAGAATCTATTTTCCTCATCTCATTCTTCATGACCTAGGTCCACATCCTACATATACTTGCATTACCCAAATTTCACATATTAAAAACATCCTTATCTCATTTCTTCATCTCTCCTTTCTGTCTCCTTCAAAACTACTCACATTATTGTGAGAGGAAGAGAAATATGTTCTTTCCAACATATTGACTGCCTATTCACTCTTCTCTACTGCCATTCTTGTGACCTAAGCACTTCCTGAAAGCTTCCCCAATTGTGTCCATCCTCAGACTCAACATTTCCTTCTAATGATAAAGAAAACACATTTGACTCCTCCAGCTCTTTTGCTATATCCTTGATGTTATAAAGATTTAACATCTCAAATGCCCTGCACAGCTTCAGAATTTACATTGATCCAGCCTCTCTTCCTCCAAAGGCTAAAACAATATAACTCAAACTTAATGTGACCATGAAATTTCTCTTATACAAGAATCTATATTTTGTTGTTATTATCATAGCCAGTACTACTTCACTACCGTTCCACCCTAGCACCGTCCCACATCATATTGTGGGGACTCTGAAGAGAAAATTTTAATGTTTATGCAGTTAGTACTTTCTGAACAAATTTTACCAAAATTTACGTGGGGTAAAAGAAAAAGTAATTATACCTAAATTGATAGTGAGAATGCCAAAAAGTTTAACACCAAAGAGTTTTGGGGGTTTTGTTTATTTTTATTTTTTGAGAAGCAGATAGAAATAGATGGACAGAAACAGAGCTCCCAATGCTGTCACCCTCCTCCAAATTCCTGAGATCCAGAAACTCCACCCAGCTCTCCCACGTGAGTAACAGGGACCCAATTACTTGAGCTATCATCTGCTGCCTCACAGGGTCTGCATTGGAAGGAAGTTGGAAACAGGAGCCAAACCTGGGACATTCTGATACCAGATACTCTGATATGTGATGTAAGTAACCTAACCAGCATCTTAACTGCTATGCCAATTGTTCACCCCAACTTTCAGGAGTTTTGTGTTTACATTGCAAAAGGAAATAGACCTCTAAGTATGCCCTTTTGCTGTAATCTCACAACCTCCATATATATATATATATATATATATATATGACATATATATATATATGACATATATATATATAATCTTAGGATATATATAATATATAAAATCTTGGGATATATATATATATATATATGTACACACACACACAAACCTTGGGCTCCCTCACGTAAAGAATGTGTTTGTGTGAAGGAAAATGGTTTCCCTCATCTCAGTCTGGGGCAGAGATGAGTCTCAGAGTCTTAATTTAGGTATCTTCACTTAGAATGCAGATCGCAGGATATATATGATGATCTCTGCTGCTCATCCAAAAGAAAGGGGAATTCAGGCATAAGAAATAGGTCACATTAAGTCATAATTAATCTGAATCTTTCCACCAGAAATATATGTACCCTCAAGATAATATAAAAAAATAAATATAGATATTAGGGCCGGTGCCGCGGCTCAATTGGCTAATCCTCCGCTGCAGCGCTGGCACCCCAGGTTCTAGTCCAGGTTGGGGTGCTGGATTCTGTCCCGGTTGCTCCTCTTCCAATCCAGCTCTCTGCTGTGGCCCGGGAAGGCAGTGGAGGATGGCCCAAGTGCTTGGGCCCTGCAACCGTATGGGAGACTAGAAGGAAGCAGTTGGCTCCTGGCTTCGGATGGATGCAACACCGGCCATAGTGGCCACTTGGGGAGTGAACCAATGGAAAAAGGAAGACCTTTCTCTCTGTCTCTCTCTCTCTCACTGTCTAACTCTGCCTGTCAAAAAAAAATATATAGATATTAAGCACTATCACCTACCATGCCCATCAGATCAAACTCATTTCCCAGACCCTTTGACCTAGCTTACTCCTTATACCTTTTAACTGTTTCTTAAAAGGTTGTACTTACTGCACAGAATGTATTTGCTCCTATCCACTACCCCGATCATTGAAACTGCTTTTTCACCATTGAATGTCCTCTTTCTTCTTTTAAATAAATCTAAATTGTTTGCTATTCAAAATTTGAGAAGCCTATCTACCCTGAGTAAAAATCTCAAATCACTCAATTACTTCAAGGTCTTACACCATACTACAAATTACACATATACTATGTCATGCTAACTCAATTTCAAGGTAAACACTCTTTGAAGAATCAAAATCTCAGAAAAGTTGGGAAAATGCCCAGAGTCATGGAATCAGTAAGACTTGGCCACATAAATTTCTTAGGCCTATAAAATGTTATTAGAACTGACTTAAGCTACATCTCAGAAGTATAAAGGATTTTTTAATTGTTCTCTCTGCCACAAGCTCAACATTTTCCCTGATGGTGCTTTCTTATCAACCAGCATCCTTACCTAAGATATGACTTTCAGGTGTAGTCAAACATACATTGTATTAGAAGTACCATAAATAAGAAATAGTTAAAAATCCACTTGGATTTCCAAAAATTTTGTTAAGACAATATAATTTTGTCTGAGCTAACCAAGCAGACAAATTTCTACATAGAAAAGAGTGTAGCCATAACAGCACCTTAAGATATGTGGTGTCAGATCAGGGGCTACCAACAAGGAAACATTTTTAAAGAAAAAAAAAAATCTATGATGTACATTAGCAAAGATGTGGTGAAATTGTGCTCTATGCTAAAGGGCAGATAATATAACTGATTATATATTGTTATCTTAAAGAAAAAAGTGGAAAAGGGGATATTATTAGCTTGAATTGGTTGCTGTTGATTATTCTTGCAGGATGCTATGAGAAAGAGATGAGCACAGAAAAGAACTGAACCATTCATGAGAGAACTGTTGAGGGAGTCACAGAAGAAAATGCAGAGATCTCAGGATTTACAGAAGTACGAGATGTAATAAAAGATGCATCTCAACTTTTTCAAAAAAAGTATATATTTTCATTATATTTGAAAGTCAAAAGCAAAACACACACACACACACACACACACACACAAACATACACAAGGACCCAATGTGCACAATAGCCATGAGTATGACAGGCAAAGTCAAAAGCCAAGAACCCAATCTGAGTCTTCCATGTAGGTGGCAAGGATCTAATTACATGTACCATCCTTTGCAGCTTCCCAGGATATTCGTTAGCATAGCTAAATTTTAAAGTAGTTAAACATTAAAGTCTTATTTCAGGACACTTTTTATAAAACAAATACTATAAAATAATTAGAATGGTAAATAACAGATCTCTAGTTTTACAAAACAGTTCAAGGAAAAGAGACTAAAGATTTAGCTCTTTTGTGAAGTTCTGACAACCACAAAGTGTTTTTTGTAGGCAGAATAAAGCCCATCTCAAAGGTGCCCATGTCCATGATAACCCCAGTGAATACATATTATCTTACATGGCAAGGTGACTAAGTTAAGGATATTGAGCTGGAGAAATTATCCTGATGATCTGGGTGCACCCAATCAAAAAGGTGCTTATAAGTGAAGGGGGCAGGATGGAAGAGTCAGAGAAGGAAATGTGAAAAGTGAAGAAGAAATCAAAATGATAGAATAGCTGACTTTAAGGACAGAAGTTTCCATGAACTGAGGAAAGCAAAAAACCCTCTGAAATCTATAAAATGCAATGAAATAGATTTTTCCCAAAGGTATATCTCCTAGAAAAGATTCATCTTACTTTTCAAAACACATAAATTGAAAATGAAAGGATAGAAATAGATATTCCACACAAATGTAAACCAAGAGAAAGCAAGGATATCTATACTTATACCAGACAAAATAGTTTTTAAGAAAAAAACATAAAAAGAGACAAAGATTTCACAGGGCCTGCATTACCATGCAACAGGTTAAGCCATTGGTTTGAACACCAGAATCCCGTATTAGAGTGCTGGTTCAAATCCCAGCTGCTCCACTTCTGATCCAGCTTCCTAAGAATGCAGCTAGGAAGACAGTGGGAGATGGCCCGAGTACTTTGGAGCCCATCACCCATGTGGTAGACTAGGATGTAATTCCTGGGTCCTGCCTTCAGATGCATAATACATCCTATATCAAGGAAAAATCTAGTGTCTAATGGTTTCACTGCTGAATTCTATCAAGCACTGAAGGGATTAATTACAATCATTCTCATGTTCTTCTAAGACACTTAAGAAGAAGGAATATTTTCAAACTGTTTTTGTGATGTTAGCATTACCTGGAAAGCAAAGCCATACAAGGATGTTACAAGAGAAGAAAATTATTGTCCAATATATTTGATTAACACTAATGCAAAATTCTCAAGAAAATACTGGCAAACTGAACTCAACAACACATTAAAAGATCATTTAGTCAGGGTTGCAAAGATAGTTCAACATATACAAATCCACAAACACTACATCAACAGAACAAAGGACAAAAATCATATGGTCATCTCAATATATTCAGTCATAGCTATTGATGATATTCAATATTTTTCATGATGAAAAATCTGAACAAACTAGTCATAGAAGGAATATACCTTACCACAGTGAAGGCTATATTTAACAAGCCAACAGCTGACTTTATTTGAATAGGGAAAAGATTAAGGTTTCCACTGCTTTTCTTCAATGTAGTGCTAAAAGTCTTAGCTAGAATAATTAGCCAAGAGAAAGACAAAAAGAGGATCCAAACTGGAAAGAACAAGGTGAAATTGGCATGATCTTATATATAGAAAACCCTAACAACTCAACCAAAGAATTATTAGAACTAATAAAAACTTCATCTAGTTTCAGGATACATGCAAAAACCAGTAGAGTTGTTATACAATAGTGAATTACCTGAAGAAAAATCAATCACATTTCTAATAGTTATAAAAAATATAAAATACCGGGGCTGGCACTTTGGAGTAGGGGTTAAAGCCGTGGCCTGAAGTGCCGACATCCCATGTGGGCACCAGTTCTAGTCCTGGCTGCTCCTCTTCCTATCCAGCTCTCTGCTATGGCCTGGGAAAACAGTAGAAGATGGCCCAAGTTTTTGGGCCCCTGCACCCACGAAGGAGATGCAGAAGAAGCTCTTGGTTCCTAACATCAAATCGGTTCAGCACCAGCTGTTGCAGCCATCTGGTGATGGAAGACCTCTCTTTCTCTCTTTGTCTCTACCTCTCTCTGTAACTCTGTTTTTGAAACAATTAAAAATAAATATTTAAAAATATAAAATACCAAGGAATAAATTTAACTGAAGAGGTGAAAGATCCCTACAATGAAAACCATAATTTAAGATGAAATTAAAGAGGACACAAAGACATGGAAAGACAAATACTGCTTTTTCTCACATATATTGAATCTAAAACAGTTGATCTCATAGAAGCAGTAGGTGAAATGATGGTTATCAGAGGCCAAGGGGTAGAGGGACTAGGAAGATGATGGGGAAGTAATAGAAAATCTCAAACAGGAGGATTTTTTTTTACATATATCACACAGTGCTGTGAATATAATTAATAATGTGATTTTCAAAATTTGTGAGAGTAAATTTCAAGTATTCTCACTACAAAAAATCATAAGTATTCAAGGTAATGTATATGTTAATTAGTTTGATTCAATCATGTGACATTCATTATTCCTTTTGTATTCTATAAATATCTAAAAATTATAAAATATCAATTTATAATAAAATAAAAATAAAAACATTTCTGTTCAGTCCTAAGATAGAATGTATTCTCTGACTTCTTTTTTAGATTTAGAAAAGAAAGGAAGTGGAAATGGAAGGACATCTGAAAGACCAGAGCAAGAGCAATGTGCTGGAGTTCAGTTAAAGAAGGATTGTATTCCTCAACTTCGATTAGGGACCCATGAAATACATTCCAAAATAATTTCAGTTTGTGATCCCTGGCTTCTAGTGCCCCTCATCTTTTTCAAATGTATTTGAATGGTTTGAACTTGCTAGCTTCCCTTCTGAAGGGAAGCTTTAAGAATAATTGTAAATCAAGCACTGTTCTTCTTTCTCTCTGCACTAAGACTAGAAATGCTCTAGACAAGAGCTGCTAAAACAAAAACATCATGAAATTAAACTCTATGCAGTGACCCACAGTTGATATGCAACC